CTGCTCTGATTTTTGTCATTTCTTCTCTTCTGCTGGATTTGGGTTTCATTTGTTCTTGCCTTTCCAGTGGCTTGAGTAGCAGTGTTAGGTCATTTATTTGAGCTCTTTCCAATTTTTTAATGTAAGCACTTAGAGCTATAAACTTCACTCTTAGGACTGCTTTTAATGTGTCTCAGAGGTTGTGTTGTGTGGTACTGTCCAGAATTCCAGGAATTCTTTTATTTCTTTTTTACACTCTCCTTTGACCTACTCATTGTTTAGGAGTGTGTTGTTCAATCGCCACACATTCGTGTAGTGACTAGAGCTTTGTCCAGTGTTGACTTTGAGCTTTATTGCTTTGTGGTCTGATAGAATGCATGGAATTATTTCAATATTTTTGTATTTGTTGAGGTTTGTTTTGTGGCCCAGTATGTGGTCAATTTTTGAAAAAGTTCCATGAGGTGCCGAGTAGAAAGCGTATTCTTTGGTATTTGGGTGGAATAATCGAAAGATGTCTGTTAGGTCCATTGGATGTATGGTATAATTTAATTCAGGTGTGTCTCTGTTTATGCTTTGTCCAGCTGACCTGTCTAATGGAGACAGTGGGGTATTGAAGTTCCCTACCATTACTGAGTTGGGGTTAATCTGTGTCTTAAAGTCCTGTAGTATTGTTTTTAAGAATTTGGGTGCACCACAGTTTGGTGAATATATGTTCATGATTGTAATACCTTCTTGATTCATTGTTCCTTTGATCAAAATGAAGTGGCCCTCTTTGCCCCTTCTAATAAGTTTTAGTTTAAAGTCTATTTTGTCAGATATTAGAAATTAGAATTGCAACCCCTGCTTGTTTCTTAGTGCCATTTGCTTGGAATATTCTTTTCCATCCTTTTACCTTAAGGTAGTGCCTATCCTTGAAGGTGAGATGGCTTTCTTGCAGACAGCAAAGAGATGGATTTTTTTTAAAAATTATTTTATTATATTATTTTTATTTTTATGTGCATGCATGTATTGCCTGCATGTAGGTAAGTACACCCGTGTCATGCAATGCCCATGGAGGACAGAAGAGGCTGTCGGATCCTCTGGAACTGGAGTTACAGACAGTTGTCAACTACGACATAGGTGCTGGGATTCAAACCTGGGTCTTCTGCAAGAACAGCCAGTGCTTTTAACTGCTGAGCCATCTCTCCAGCCCCATGGATTTTGTTTCTTAATCCATTCACTTAGTCTGTGTCTTTTGACTGGGGAGTTCAGTCCATTGATATTTAAGGTTATTATTCAAAGTTGTGTATTGGTTGCTGTCATTTTGATTGCTGCTTGTGTTCTGTGTAATTTTGTGTTTCCTAGCTTATATCTTTGTTTATTTTCTTTCATTGCCCCTAGGGTAAACTGTTTCTCTCTCTCTGCTCTGTGTATTACTTCAGGTATTCTTTGAAGGGTTGGTTTTGTGGACATGGATTCTTTCAGGCTATTCATGTCATGGAAGATTTTTCTTTCCCCCTCAACTATAACAGACATTTTTGCCAGGTAAAGTATTCTGGGTTGGCATCTGTTGTCATGTAGAACTAGAAATGCATTGGTCTAGGCTTTTCTGGATCTCATAGTTTGCATTGATAAGTCAGCTCTAATTCTGTTCAGCTTTCCTTTGTGTGTGACTTGTTTTTCTTTTGCTGCTTTCTGTATTCTCTCTTCTGTACATTAAGTGTTTTTACTATGATATGTTGTGGGGAGTTTCTTTTCTGATCCTGTCTATTTGATGTTCTATGTGCTTCCTGTATATGTATGGGGATGTCTTCCTTAATTTTGGGAAATTCTCTTCTACAATCCTGTGTAAGATCTGGTCAACACCATTAACCTGAAATTCTTCTCCTTCCTCTGTTCCCATGATCCATGATCCATAGATTTGGTCTTTTCATGGTGTCCTGCATCTGTTGTATATTCCATTCCTGTGTTCTTTTCAATTTTCCATACTCTTTGCTTGAGTGGTTGAATTCTTAACTTTATCCTCCAGCGTTGATATTGTTTTCCATTTCATTCATTCTAGAGGTGAGGCTTTCCCCTGTTGTTTCAAGTTGGCTTTTTGAGTTTTATACTTCCTTCTTCATTTCTGCCTGAATTTTCTTCAATGTTTCTCTTTTGTGAATTCACTCGAAGTTTATCCCTATCTCTCTCTTTTTTTTTTTAATCTCTTTGATTTGTTTGTTCGTGTGTTCTTTAAATTCGTTGAATTCCTTGACCATGTTTATGATTGTTCTTTTAAATCCAGTGTCCTGGGTTGTCTCTGGGGGGTTCTCCTTGTAGAACTCTTCCACAGGATTGGTGGGCTTTGCTGGTGGGCTTTCTGTTTTATTATTCTTTCGTTGTGGTTTTGGCATGTGAATTTCTTTTGTTGTTCATGATTCTGATATGAGAATTAAGTTGAAGTATGCTTCTGTTTGTATTATGCAGGTGCCTAGATCCTTTCTTTACTGGTTATGTAAAACTGGTTGGTATAGGGTTCAGGTTCTTTCAGGTTTATTTTGGAGGGAACTGATGGCTTCTGATCAGCTATTCAGGGGTACCCACAGAAGCCCAATTCAGGTTCCAGTCAGGTACACTCAGGCTTCCTTCACCATGTGGAGGCAGGATTCAGGCTCTCTCGGGCAGTCCTGTGCATTTTAAACCCTATGCCAGAGGGAGGCCAGAGGGGAGCCAGAACTTGGCACTCTTTGGCAGGCTGCTGAGATCCCAGTCTTAGCCTACCAAAGGCATATCTCCCCTGGGGCCTTGGGAAGGGGCCTCACAAAATCCCAGGTAGGTGGATGGTATGGCACAATTAGGGGAAGCTCCCCTCTGTGTGGATGCAGGATCCAGGGGCTATCAGGCTATCCCCTGGGTTCTCAGGCCCTCTGGTAGTTGGAGGCCAGAGGGAGGCCAGAACCTGGCACTCACTGGTCTGCTGAGCTCCAAGCAGGTACCGCAATGCCCCAGTCCACCTTTTAATTTTTACTTTCAGACAAGGTTTCACTAAGTTGCTTAGGGTAGGTCTTGAACTTCAGATCCTCCTATCTCAGCCTCTTGAGTAGGTGGGATAATAGGTCTATGCCGTAAGGCCCAGCTCCAGTTTTCTAAATTCCACAATCTAGAAGATAATACTAACTAAAGAAACATTAACTCTCAAATATCGGCCCTTACTCTTACACTCCTGTACTCATCAGTCTGACAAAACTTTAAAATAAAAAGATAAATACCAATAAGACAATTATTTGCCAGTTGCTTACCTTCAGGCAAACACACTAGATGATTTCTTCTTACATTAAAGTCTTTCAAGGCTTCTAGATTACCAATTTGAGAAGGTACAGTTTGAATTTCATTGCAGCTCACATCCTATTTCAAAAGAGTACAAACATTATTCTTTTGTTAAAATTTTTATTTATTATAAGTGGATGGAGAGATGGCTCGGCAGTTAAGAACACTGACTGTTCTTGCAGAAGACCCAGGTTTGAATCCCAGCACCCACATGGCAGCTAACAACTGTCCATAACTCTAGTTCCAGGGGATCCGACAGCCTCATCTGTCCTCCGTAGGCATTGCACAACATAGGTGCACTTACCTACATGCAGGCAAAACATGCATACACATGAAATAAAAATAATAAATAAAATTTTATTTATTATTAATATATATAAGTTAAAGGAGTGATTGAGCTGCCATAGATGAGGGAGGGAGTCTAAATTTAGTTAATAACTGTTGTATGAAATTACAAAAACTCAATAAAAATACAAATATATTGAAAAATATTTTATTAATTATAAAAATTATGTGTATGAGTGTAATGCCTGCATGTGTGTAAATACACCCGTGTTGTGTAATGCCCTCAGAGGTCAGAAGAGGGTGTTGGACTCCCCTGGAACTGGAGTTATGGATGGTTGGTAGTTACCATGTGGGTGATGGGAATCAAACCTGGGTCCTCTGTAAGAGCAGTCAGTGTTCTTAACTGTTAAGCCATCTCTCTAGCCCCAAAGAAGATTATTTTAAACAAAAACTTGCCTGCTTTAAACTACAGAATCTTTAGTTTACAGAAGGAGATAACCTACAGTCCTTCCTAGTAGTTAAAAAAAAAAATGGGACACAGTGGCTAACAATGATCTGTAACTCCATTTCCATTTGCCCTCTTCCGGCCTCCAAGAGTACCAGGCACACACATGGTATAATTACATGTAGGCAAAACATACATAAAAACAAAATAAATCTAAAAATTTAAAAATAATATGAATATGTACCTAAGACTAATTCCACAATCTATACTCTTATTTCAAATTTTTAAAATTATAGGCTTTGGCCGATTCTATATATTTCATAAAGTTTTACATGAAAAATCAGAAAATTGAAACTATATGGCTTAATATATAAATATGAGGCCTAGGATATCAGACCAAATGAAAACTTTTGGTGAAAAGGTAAAGCAGAAAAAAGTATAAATATTTATTTTTACTATTCCAATTAAAATAGAAAAGTAAAACAATGCTAAAAATAAAATGAAAATTATTTCTAGAAAAATCCCCAA